TAATAGTATATAAATTAAAATTATCTTTTAATTCTTAAAGACCAACTAGGACTTATTAGGACTTTTACCAACCCTAGTTAGACCTATCAATTTTGCCTAATGCGTTATCCTCATCCTAGACCTCCCACAGATAGTCACATTAATATCGAAAAAGCCAGTCTTATTTTGGAAGTTATGAGAACAATGAGAAGATATAGGACTCTGAAATAATTATGTCTTCATAAACCTTTTCAATTTTATATTATGTACACAATAATGAATATCAAAACATTGTAATTAACTGGCCAGTTAATTTTTGTAATAGAGTCAAATAATAAAGATTTTTCTTGACCAAGGTCAAGGTATATTTTTAAACCCGTTTCATTATTACATGCAGTACATCGCTAACGGTATTTACTTACCTACTATAAATGATTGCTTTTTCAAAAAATTTATAATGAATATCTCTCAGGATACGTCTATATTTAGTAATCAATATTTTCGCATGATGGGGTATGTTAATTACTCCTGTAGATTACTAGGATGATCAAGTGATATAGATATATTGAGTATGGCCTTATTGAAGGTGCAGGATTCAAAGTCGGGTTAAAGTGTGATCCAAGATATTCACATAAATGCCACATGTATGGTTGAAAATTTTATTATAAAAAACATAGTAATTTTCGTTCATAAGCATATATATGGTCAATTTAGGGTTAAACTCAGGTTGAAGTGTGGTTGATGTGCAAATAAATATCTATAAAAACACCTATACCCTGCTTATCTGCATGTTCATGGTTAAAACGAATCACTTGTCTTCTAAAAAAAATGGCTGACTGGTCTGATGCACAAACCCGTATTTTTATTGACGAGTGTAGAAATAGGAACGAAGAATACCATGACTTAGGAAGGAACTGAAACATATTTTAGGAAAGTATTGCGACTAGAATTAATGAAGGGCAGGGTAAAAACTTCCAGGGACATCATTGTAAAGAAAAATTCAGGAAACTTGTTCAGAAATATAATGTAAGTGAAAATGATAATTGTTAATACAAAAGCGCAAGTGGATCCTAAATATCACATTTCCATCGATTAGGCGATATGTGAATATATAAATGGAAGTCGAACAGCTCGACGGAGTTGACTAGGTGCTAGATACTTTGATGAATTTTGTACACATTTTTGGGAAAACCTAAAGATTCATTCGACAGAATCCGTAATGTGAATATTTCTAACCGCAGATGAGGTAGGAGAAGTACTTCACCCGCGCCTTCTATTGAGGAGGTTGAACAAATACTAAGCCAAAGATTATCTAGCCGGAGGAATCAAAGCAATCAAAGGAGTCGTAGACATTCAGAACCTCCACATCGTAATTCATCTCATCTATCCAACCACCATCTTATGATGTCGCTACTGGCAATCAACCATCAAATAGTGCAGATAATGGTAATATTGGGGGACAATGAGAATATTTATCATATGTAATACTACCACCCCAAAAATGATCGAAAAAATTTAATAAAACTAAAATTACTGTTTAATCTAGCCGAAATATCAGACATTACATAAGGTTTACATGATTTACGTAGTTAATCAACATGTATCGGCTAAATTGCCTCCACACATCAGGCCTAGTGTTTTTTAACATATGTGATGGTGCACCCCAAAAAATAAATGTCATGCCATATATAGTCATTTTTTTATTTATCATGTACTATTACAATGCATTTACACATGAAAAAATACAAAATTTGCTAAACCGCTAAAAATGCTATACTAACAAAAAAATTATTCTTGTTGCTCTTCCGATCTCCTACCATAATTATTATTGATGGTTACATTAATGACATTAGCACTTTGTGAAAATGAAGGGAGGGTAGGTGTGTCTGGTCTAAAGATCGCAGATGTTTCAATAGATGGTGTTACCAGTCTTGATGGAACAGGTGTATTTATGATGATTTTAAATGATGATGTTTGTGATCTTGATGGTAGGGTTCCTCAAAATCAAATCGAATCAAATATTTAAGCAATTTGAATTTGATTCGATTTTTTAAATCAAATCAAATCAAATCAAATTGAATTCAAATATTTGATCGAATCAATTTGAATCAATTTGAATTTGATTGAATCGAATCAAATTAAATCAAATATTTGTCAAAT